GGGTGCCCCTTGGATTGATTGATTATTTATTTATTTATTTATTTATTTATATTAATTTGATTTGTATAGTCATCCATTTCACCTTGGCAACTCTGGGCAGCTAACAACTTTTAAAATCATAATACAAATACCATAAAACCACAATACATATAATAATAACAACCAAGATAAAAGCTAATCTACCATACATCAAACAACAATCTCATGGGCTCCAAAAATCCAACCATGCTGGCTACAATCAATACTGAGGAATAGGCAGTCAAGTCAATGGTTATTCCAATGAGGAATGCTTCAATTCTTTCCCAAGTGTTATTTAATTTTATATGAATCCAGAACAAGAGATCATCAGTCAGTGTGGGTGAGGTATTCTCAATATGCTGAGATACTCACCCCAAGCCAGGCCAGAGATATTATGTATATCCTAACCCAATGTCTGGTAACTGGTAGAGTCTGGATGGGCCAAAGTAACCTTAGGCTGAATCCCAGAAGTTACTGTTCATCCACAAATATCTTAATTCATTGATGGCTTCAATTATTGCTCTGGATGGTGTCACTCTTCTATTGAAGGAGAGATCTACAACTTGGGGGTCCTCTTGGACTCACAGCACTTTCTGGAACAGCAGATGGAAGCTGTGTAAGGTGATTGCTCACTTTAGACTAGTGCATCTATTGCAGCCCCACATGGACTGTGAAGCCTGAGTGGCAATGACTTATGTCCTTATTACTACATATTTGGACTACTCCAATGTGTTCTACATAAAATTATCTTGGAAGACAACACAGAAACTGATGCAAAATGCTGAGGCCAGAATGTTAGCAGGAAAAAGCTGCTACTGTACTGATTTTCCAGTAGTTGTACTCATACCAGTTAGTTTCTGAACCCAAAATTCTGGGTTTGACCCATAAAGGGCCCAAAGATAGTCTTGAGTTGGGCCCTTTGTTCTAGAATATCTTACCTTTGGGTCCATGTCCCTCTGACTCCTAGCAGGCTCAGGCCCATAACTATTACTTCCCTGCTCATATGCATAATTCAGGCAGATTCCACCTGGAGGACACTTCCTACAGTAACCTTGTATCAAAGTGTATAGAGCTTTATACGTTTGGACTACTCTAATGTGTTCTACATGGAGCTGCCTTTCAAGACAACACAATGTCTTGAGAGCTGGGCAAATACATACATGCATATATCATGATTGATTGATCCACAAAGGAAAAGCAGAAAGGAATAAACCCTAGCATTCTCCAACCCACAGTATTAGGAGAAAGTTGACTCCTGGGCATGTTTTCCTGTAAAGTACTGGTTTTACTTTATATCACTTCAAGTGCTCCTGTCTGTTTTAGCAGGAACATTTTATTTTCTTATAGCTAACTCCAGTAGTTCATTAACTCCACTAGTTCATTAGTTACTTCACAGAGGAAAGAACAACCTCTCAACTGGGTTAATAGTTGCCCTGAGTCCTACAACTTTTCTTAAACATGAGTGCTTAAATAGCATAGTAGCTATGACCATTGTCTGTAGGCAATGTAGATTTTTTTTAATTACTATTTTTCTTCCTCTGATTTATCCTCTTTGGAAGCTGGGTGTGAAATCCTTTTACTTTAAGTGACTGGAAGAACAATGAAATGGTACATCCTTGGACTTAAAAAAAAAAGCTGGGGGGGGACTAGGTACCTCTTTCAGCACTATTCTTTTTTTTTAATCATAATTTTTATTTGCATTTTTTTAAAAAACATAGAAATAAAAATATAGAAAACAAAACTGAGATAAAGAGAAAAGAAAAAGTGCAATAGATAAGAAAAGAAAAAGAAAAGAAATATTTAAAGAAGCTACTTTAAATATTGATCTGATTCTTTGTTGGCCTTCCTTACAATAGTTACAAACATACTTATCGTCACTCCTCCCCCCAGCAAGGTTACATCACATAGTTCACTTCTTCCCATATTCAACCCTTTTCAGTCAGCAAATCCAGAAATCAACAAGTCATTTTTATCCATTTTCAGCAAAAAGTCCGTAAAGGGTTTCTGATTTTTTAAGTGTCAGCACTATTCTTAAAGGAGAACTAGAAGATATCAGAGTGTAACAGTAGGGCAAGAAAGGAGTCTTCATTTTAAAGGTGGTTTTTATGCTTGCATATATATAAAAACTTACCTTTTTGTGTGTATGTGCATAGAACTATGTCTGTATATCTCTGTACACAGAAACACATATAAAAGTATGTATGTCTGATAAGACCTTCCTAGAGGAAGGAAAGTACTGACAATTGCTTTCCTAGAACAGAAGGATGGGAGGGCACAGCGGAAGGAGAAACATCCATTGAGAACAGCTGGTAGCCACACTGCAGAATGAATATCTTGCCAGCAGTTTCCAGTGTATCTCAGTTCAGGTGCAATCAAGCTGGCATGGACACAGGACAGGAGCAGCTTAAGAGTGTAGTGTCTGTGTCCATAGACTCTGAATGAGGAAAGCTAAACAGATCAGGGGGGAAAGATTTAGACCAGTATTTTTCAAACTTGGCAACTTTAAGATGTTTGGACCAACTCCCAGAATTCCCCAGCCAGCAAGTCCAACATCTTAAAGTTGCCAAGTTTGAAAAACACGGACTTAAACTAACATCATAGGAAAATAGCATATTACTGGGATGAAATCATGTCCCTTTTCCTTCCTTTGCTTATCCTCTTGAACAAAGTACCTTCTGCTGAAATATGTTCAATATTTTATTAAAATATATTCAGTGCTTTAGTCCTAGATTGGATTGTGTTCACTCTGGAAGTAGAGATGTAGTACGCCTGTGAATTTAGACTGATTGGTTAGATAATATCCCAATCAGGAGAAACAGGGGACAGAAGAGAATGATTACCTCGTTAGTTCAAACAAATGGCTAATCTTGCTAACTTCATGTAAAATGCCATACTTATGATGCTGTGCAAGTGCAATCTCCACATCATTCACCCAAAGATAAACCACGCAGAATCTCACTGAGTAATGAGCTCTGGAAGCACCCTTGATGGCAAGGGCCATGCCTGCGCTGATCCCTCAGAATAAATAAGAACATAATGGCTTTCTTCATGGTGAATTCTCACTGCAAATGGACATTGCCATCCATGAACTTCCTTCACATTGTTCCTCAGTGAGATTGCAAAAGGAGCACTGTGCCTTAATAAAAGCACTTGGCAATGTCAACAGGAAACCTGGGTCACGAAAATCATTTTTCTGTTGCTCTCCTTCAAATGTCAAGAGGATCCTCTTTCTTATTATTTAACATATCTTTGCCTTCTACCTTTTACCTTTGTGAGATCTCCACAATAAAGCTCAATTTTATTTTAGTCTTCTTCATAGAGTATTTTAAATCTGCAACTGCACTTATTTTCAGGGGAAAAAAATAATAAGCAGTTGTAAACAGGAACAGGACTATTTCATATCAGCAATAACAAAAAGATAAAGGCTACAGTCCAGTCATGTGTGACTTGCAGAGTGGAACACTAAAATGGGCATGGCTAGGAAAAGAGAATGGGGGAATTGTAGAACAAAGTAAGCAGGATATAAATGAGTGAGGGCAACCTTGCACCCAAAGCAGATGGACAGCCCCCAGATGGGCTCTCTATAGCCTCTCAGATTGGATGGGGCTGGAAATTTTGGACCCATTTATTTTTACTGGAGATCAGGCTAAGGATAAATGAAACGCTTAATCCCCAAATCAGGAGTCTCCACAAGATATAGTAAAAAATGTCAAGATGGTAGCCATAATAGTGCATTCAAAGTTCCATCTGCTTTTTATGTGACCACTCCCTGCAGACACCCCTCAAATGGTCTAATTTCTGCTGTTTGGGGAGAAAAAAGTGCTTTGAGTTAAGACACCTATTTGCCCTTTAAAACTCAAAAGCTCCCCAAGTCCCTTAAAAGCCCCCAAATCAGAAAATAATGTAACTCACTGGCCATGCCTACTATGAGTTCAAGGCAGGGTAAGTACCAAAAAAGATTGCTTGCTCCCAGGGTAAGTAACATTGTGGACTCCTTGGTGCTTTGTGAACTTGGTTGTTTGTTTGGATGTTTCATCACCCAATTAGGTAACATCACCAGTGTGAGTAAATGTGGGGTTTGCTCCATGTTTATATAGAGTAGCTTGCCTTGTCAGATTTGGTGGACATGTGGTTTGCTCCTTGGTAGTTCCTTGATTAGGGTATTGTTTTCTTCCTGATTGTTTGTCTGGTGTTAATCCCTGCTTATCTGGGTGTTAGCTGCTGGAGAGAATGTGTTCTGGTCTTTTTGTTCCTTTCTTAGCTTTTTTATTGCCTCTTTTGAATGGTGTGTAAATATGGTTTATTTCTATATGTTTATTTATGGCTGATTTGTCTGAATGCCAAGCTTCCAGGAATTCCTTAGTGTTTTTGGGTGTGGCTTGATCTAGGAAACTGTGGTTGAGTCTGTCCATGTGCTGTGAGATTAAGGAGTTTTCATTATGTCTTCTGACTGCTAGTTTGTGTTCATGGATGCACTCTGCTAATCTTCTGCCTGTCTGTCCTACATAGTGGCTGTTAGAGTCCTTACACTGTATGTTGTAGTAGGTAGTGGGGCAGAGGTTGATGAGATCCATGAATCTGGGTATTTCAGTCTTAGTGTATCTGGCTAGGTTAGGTGTCCTGTGTACCGCTGCCATGGATTCTTTCACTAGTCCTGGATCTATGGACATGAAGAGTGCTATGACATCAAATGAAACCATAATTTCATTTTCCGTTTTAAATAATTTATATAATAAATCATCTGTGGAGCCTGATTTTTGGTACATTCTATATGCGAACAGACAAATCAATCAATGGTTAGTCCTCAGACTAGTAATGACTCAGGAAATGGTTATGTAAAACAGTGTTTTTCAACCTCAGCAATTTTAAGAGGTGTGGACTCCAACTCCCAGAATTCCCCAGCCAGCATGCTAGCTGGGGAATTCTGGGAGTTGGAGTCCGCACATCTCAAAGTTGTTGGTGTTGAGAAATATTGATTTAAACAATCAGCTGCCATTGTCTGTGTAGTCATTGGGGTGGAGCAGCTTAATTGAGGCTGTATTTATCTTTATTGTTTACTGTTGCAGAATCTATAAATGCCTTTGTACTCTTCCTCAAAAGTATGATTGTACAGTATAGCTGGAGCTGATCAAATTGATTAGCATTGTGGGACCAACTCCTTCCAGTCAGTCAGGGCAAAGGCCAATGGCAATATCTTATTTCTTACCACCTTACAGATTTTATTTCCATTTTTATATTCCAAGCCCTGCTCTGGGGTAAATCTTAGATAAGCGAGTAGAAGACTGAAATTTTTGACATTTTGTAGCATCATAATTTCCATTTTGGCATCGCTTCATCAACATGTCAACATGTCTGCTTTTCATATGGTTGAAACAATATACTCTTGTTTGCTCTGCACTCTTGATGATGTCAGAATACTACTTTGCCATGAATGATATGGTGGTTGCGTTCAGCTGCTGTGGCTAATGGCAACTGCGAAGCAGCCTTCTCCATGATCTGTTCTTGCATTTCCTCTAATCCATCTAAGTGCATGACCATTACCACATCCTGTAATAGTAAATTACATAAATTAATAATGGATTCAGGGAAGAAGTACTTTCTTTTTTCTGTCCTGAAACTTTCATTGAATGACCCCGAGCGTTAGTACTGTGCGAAAGCAAGAAAACATTCTATCAACTTTCTCCAACTCATGCATAATCTTACACATCTTATTAATCTCCATCTTCTCCTTTTCCTCTAAGCTATAAAAAATGTTCTTACCTTTCATCATAGGAATAGTGCTCCGATACTTTGATCATTTGGTTGCTTTTATCTGCAGATTTTTTTCAGTTCTACAATATACTTTCAGAGATGACTAGAATACTACAAAGCACTTCATATGCAGCTGCACCCTAGAAATATATTGTGATTTTATTACAATGGTGACTTCATTTTCTGTGTCTTCAACCATGACTCCAAGATTGCTATTCTTTGAGCCATAATTCATTGTTGCTATTCTTGTTGAAAGTGCCTAATGTTTAAAAATGCAGTCCAATTATTGAAAGAAAAGACAATCCCAGCTTACAGTCCAATTGCCACAAATAGGAAGAGATGGGGATGGAAAAGGAAAGTCACATTGGAGCAGGGTGCTGTTTGTTAGAAGAGCCACAGAGTCATTACCACAACTCTCACTGGTGTGTCATTTGAACCAAGGCTGTTGTTCGTTTTTGTTGAATCCTAAACTGACTCAATTCTTCAGGTGTCTTCTACTTTTTTAAAAAAATCAAACTTCAGATATTCTGTCAATATCTGGTTGACCGTCTGTCATGTATCTTCTCTTTCTTTTACACTATTTCTAGCCTCTCTAAGCAACCTTTCCATTCTTCTCTCATCTAATGTTCCATCTGCCACCTGACCTATTTTCTGTTTTTAGTTTAATAAGCTTTTCTTTTTTTAAAAAAAATGTTCTTTCTCTTCCTCCTAATTTACCTTCAGCTTACCTATGTTTAAGCAGAGTCTGTGATGTTTTTCCTCCTAGGTCATTTGGGGAGGTTACACACACCTAAAACAAAAGGTTCTTGCCTTCTGTACAACATACAGTAAAAATAGCTTGATTATGTGCTATACATTCTGAGCAGTGATCCAAACAGCCTAGTGATGCCTAAGAGCAAGGATCTACCAACAGTGATTTCAACAACTGAAAAGAGAAAAGAACTTGGGAGGCGGGACTTGTGCAGCAATCAACCTGTTTACCATGAAGAACTATAGCTCTGTGAAAGACACATGTTTCTAATAGAAGAAATCCCCTCCTTGGTTTCTCCATGTAGGACTGAGAAGAGTCACTGTCAGCCAGCTGATTTGTTGCTTCTGAATCTTCATGGCATAATGGATATTTGACTTACAAAGATTTGGACAATGACCTGATAGTAGCAAAAGTATATTCTCAAACACTGGATCTTTGCAGTTCAGATAGGGGAGCCCTAGCTTGATGGCATCTTTATTTACTTAAGTCTTCCTCTTCTTCTTGGCAGAACACATATCCAAATTAAATATCCAATTTCTATTTCCTACTTTTTAAAAAAAAAAAATTCTCTAAGAATGCATTATTGAGCTGGATTGAAATACTGTGGGATACTTGGAAATAAAAATAATGCTACCTTCTCATTTGTCAAATACTGTAGGACAGTGAACTTGGGGGCTTGTGGGGAGAGGTCTGGGTCACAATGCTGCTGCAATTGTCAGGTTGCCTACCCCCTGCAGTAGGTAATCCTCAGCTACACTAATGGACTGATTCACTAAAAAGCAGCTTCTGACACTGAAGCATCTGAACTGTCTAAACGGATAGGAGCAATTCAATGGCAGGGCAAAATGATGGGCCCTGTGAAGCATTAAATCGCCTTAAGGAGAAGGCAGCAGGTGTTCCTCTGTTATTCTGTGATCCTCAGCAAATCAAACCCCGTTGCTTACAGCTTTCTCAATCAACTTTTTCCCATCGATTTTCTAATACATTATGAAGAGAGAAACTAAATGCCTATGGAGGCTCTGAGCCTCTGCACAATAACCCTATTGGCAAGAGAGTGATTAATGTGCTTGAAAGTTAATCAAATGCCTGAACAATATTTCTATAAGCTGGGAAGTTTGAAGGAAATAATTGCAAGAAGTAATTTGAGGTCCTGAGATTTCGCAGTTTCCCCACTTGCCACAGGCAAGACAGAGAACTATGATTGCCTTTTCAAATGAAGTATAGCCTTCACTTTTTTCTTTGGGTAGTGAGGGAGCACTTGTTTAATTCATCGACTGCATGAACAAATTCAGTGGAAAAAAAATATATGACAAGCACTGACTGGCTAGAAGGCAAGTTCAGTTCTCCTTGTGCAATGCTGTGTCATGCCAGTTACAGGCAGGAGCAGAAATGTTTCAAGATCAGGATTCTAAATCTTTGGCCATTGCTTGGGAGGGAATTAAGCTGCTACAGTGATCAATTTTTAATTACTTTTGTTGGCAGCATAATAATAAGGTGCTTCATTTTCCTGACAAGAACCTGAACGATCATTATAGGCATGAATTATTCAGGAAAGCAAAGTCCTTGGTGATAGGAATAGTAATAGAAGTAGCATTTTTTTTCTCTTCCAGCAGGATCTTGTGGAGATCCTTAACTGCAGGCTGTTACAAATCCCAAAGCGGTCAATCATGGTCTCTGAATGGATTTGAAGGCATCACTTAAACAAAGAAACAAACACAAACACTTCAGACAGAATCAATAGTGATTTGAAACTACATTAGTGTAGGCAAATATATCTCTCCGACAAACTTTTCTTAAAAGTCCATTGAACATTCTTTATTCCATTCATGAGTTTGTATGAGTTTGGGTTGATCTTCTGTTTGCTTCTGTTGTGCTTTGGGGACCCAACATTTCAACAAACTTATAAAATTGACCCAATTCACATGCCCTAACTGACAATAAGCATTTCACAGCTGGCTGCCCAGCAAATTGCTCATCTGTTCATTCCATTATGAAGTAAGATATATTTTCAGCCCACGGTGAGATATACAGGAAAAGTTAACACACTCAGAGCTGAAAATAACTCACCCAGTGGAATAATTAGCTAACCACTTCACTGTATATTCAATTGCAAAATGTATGAAATTCACTGCACTACAACCACAGGCAGTTTGGAGCAGGTAACTTTGCCTCAATCTATATTTATGCAGAGTTTATGTTGTTCTAATTTGCTTTTTGCATTTATGTGGAAAGATACTGGATTAGATTCAGACCTGTACATGAATAGAATAGATCTACTGAATTCAATGGAACAAATTAGTAATGAGTCTGCTCTAAGCAAGGATAAATTTGGATCTAATTCTTAGTTTTATTTTATTTTTAAAAGTCTAAAATAATAATTGGGCACTAATTTTACAGCAATGTCTGTTGTATCTCTTATTTGCAATCGAGTCATAAAAAAAACCTTTCCCTGAAAATATGTGTTCCAAAACTGTAAAAAAAGATGTCCAGTTATTTTCATGCTTTTACTGAATAATCGACCATATTAAATAAACCTTTGAATAATTCTTTTTCAGATCCTCCTAGATCATTTTAATCAAATGAATTCAGTAACACTTTGGACTTCTTTTGACCACATGCCCTTTTGAAACTTCAAGCCAATCCTCATTCTAAATTTTGCTATTAATAACTTTCTTCCTTATTACTATTTAGGACTCCAAGATAAACATGCAAAGGTATGTTGTGTCTGAATCCAGGGCAGGCAGTTATAAAGCCCGACAACTAAAACATAACGTACTTGGGCTGTGAACATTCAGATGACCACCAGATGGCAGGTAAAAGTTAAATTTTTTTATAGTTCTTTGATGCCATCTGGCAGTCATACAGATTTTGCAGTCCAGATATGGTATTCCTAGATTATTGGATACTAAGACTTCTCTCTTCACCATGGAAAAGGAGTTCCGCTGCTAGGTACTTGAATTGCTATAGAACATTCTGCTGCTAAAGGAAGTCGTTTGGTGCACTTGGAGACTAAATGAAGATCTGTACGATCCAAAGCTCCCCAAAGGCTCCAACTGGGCTGGAAAATATCCTAGTCTGAGTGAGAGTGAAATGAATTCATTTCCCATCATCAACTTTGATCCTCTCAATGTGAACCAGCACCATAAACTCCTGTTTATATAAGAAAATTGTAGGAAGTTTTAGTCTCCAAATAGGAATGTAGAGCTCAACATTCTCCAAGTTTGATAGCTATCTTGAATTCCAGTAAGTGTTCATCTTCAAGAAGATTTCATTGTTCTGAAGTTTATTCAATTACAAACAAGAATTAGGAATGGCATATGTAAGACTTCCAGGGGAGGTATGGTGAATTAGCACATCTCCGAAAAAGCAGAGCTGACAACTGTGGCAAAGACAGAAGAACCAGTGACTAGACCGGTTCTACAGAACCTCTCTGGATAAGGAGAAGATGAGAAGTTACCTACATAGGCTCCAGATGGCTGCTTCTCACAAGGAGACTGCAGGACAGCGGTCTCCTGTAGGTTTCAGCACTGGGAGAGAAAAAGAAGCCATCGTGCCCACAACTGCGGCAGAGCTTTTTAAAGGACACTGAGTTCACTACCTCACTTTCTAATCATTTTTGGAGATTGCCTATTTAACTGTCTTAAAGCTATTAGAGACCTTTGGAACGACAAGTCTGAGAAGTTACCTGGTGAGTTTACCTTCATTCTTGAACAAAAGAAAAATGAACTGAAAGCTTAAGAATTTAAAGAATTGGAAATAAATAGCAAAAGGCTAAATAAGATTTTGACCCAAGAAAGTTATAAATGAATTAAGGGACCACAGATATTTGGAATATTAGGACATTTACTATAAGATTTTGGAAATAATTATATAAATAAACAGCCATTCATGGGAACTAAATTGTTTTGTCTGTCCTAAGTGATAAGAGATTTGAGACTTTAAGGTTTCAGAAATTGGACACTAGAAGGGACTAAAGATTCCAGGAAGAAAAGGGAAAGGGAAAAAAAAGTGATAGCTTGGCTTTTGTTTTTGGATACTACTGGAATTTACAAATGGACAAAATGTTATGAGTTGTTTCAACAAGATGGGCAGTGACAAATTTGATAAATAAATAAAATGACATTTGAAATACTCCAGGAGATTTTTGAAGAATGAGGTCAGAAATTAGGAGCTACAAGGTTGGAAATGATGTCTGCTTCTATGAATAGACTATGTCCAAAAGATGATAACAAAGGAATGACAGATGTGAAACAAATTTTGCCTGATGTAGAAATATTAGAACCAGAAATACTGGATAATAAAAAAAGACAACTAAAGTGGAAATACAAATGACAAGCCAAGAGAATGACCTGGATAAGGACTTTCTATTGGATATACAAAAGAAGTTGGTTAAAACTTTGAAGATTAAAGTGGAAATACCAATGATAAACCAAGAGAACAACCTAGATAAGGACTTTTTATTGGATTTACAGAAGGGATTTGCTAAAGCCTTGAAGAAGCCTTTGAGATGGGAAGAAGAAAATAGAAGAGAGATTAAATCCTACAACAATATCTGAATTAAAGATAAAGATTGTTAGAAGTAAAAGGAAAGAATGTAGAGTTGTTTTGCTTGACCAACTAGCAACTAAGACATGTTTCTATAAAACTCTGGGAACCCTTTACGGACTTTTTGCTGACCCAGGACTGAAAAGGTGATGAT